CTTTAGAAAGATTCAAATTTTTGTTTATTGCTAAGGTGAACTAGGGGTGGTTTTCCACCTCACAAAAGTATAGGGACAGGGAGTGGTAAGGCATTTCTAGAAAAATCCCGGCAATATCACCCGCCACTGTTTTGGAACACTTTCAGTGGTGCGAGCAGAGAACCAGGTTTTTTTAAGACTTGAAAATGTTTGAGAAGTTACCTCAACGGACACTGAAACCTTCCCAGCACAGGCAAATTGCTTTTTTGGAACCTTTCTGGGCTATCGCTGAACTACGAAGAAAAATTATGTGTACAGTGAGCTCGTTGGTAATGGCAACGAACTGCGGGAATTGATTGTTCGCCAAGAAATTCTGAATTATTTTTTGAAACATGGTGTTTGCCAACAATCCAGCGCTGACCGTTTTCAAACTGTCAAAAGCTCTCTATATAGATCTGTTACCAATAATGTTGCTCACGTAGGTTGCTCCTGAATAGCCGCCATCAATAGTGTAGATTCTGTACGATGGATTATTGAAGTCGTACGTTGTTAGCGATGGGGATATCCAGTTGAAGTGGAAAGGTCGCAGGTTGTCGTCTTGATCATAATAGACCTACAAATTCACTTTGAATTCTGACATTTTCATTTCTGAGACAATGATTTTCCATGATTTAGCTTTCAATTAATGTGTTTGTAGGAGATAAAGAACTAAAAATGACTCGCAAAACATTGTAAAACATAGTGTAGGTATATACAGAATTTAGTGGAAGGGATCACAAGAGAAAACCAGTCAAATATTTTCTGCCAATGAAATGATTAGCCTGTTGCAGTTGTATTCTATCGATTGTCACTAATTACAACTATCATTTACCAGAAATCAGCTATCACTATGAACAACTTCTAACCAGATTTACTTGGAGGCCGTCGTCAGTTGTGGTGTTTGGTCTGCACCCGACACTTTCTCGCTTTTTGAAGGGGAGACAAGCCGTTTAGACAGAGCGAGCACCCGAAGTAAGGCGTGAATTACAACGTTCCTGCCGTAGTCACGTACAATGCGCGTCGCATCGACGCGATTTCCGCAATGACAATCCTATGGGTTATGCTCACATTGAGGCTACCCCCGCTGGGCAGCAATCCAAAAATGGATGAGCGTCGCAGCGTTCGCCTCGCCGCTGACGCGGCTGAGGCTGATAAGATGCGCGACTCTTCGCGGCGGGTGCCGCGCTAGACTAAGGCGGCGGAGGGATCCGCGTGCGTGCCATCCTCCACGCAGAGTCAACCCTGCGTTGCGCAGTTTCAACGGCCACGTTGCGCAGTTTCGCCCGATTAGACACGTTCTCTCGCGCGAACATTCACACTCGCATGCTCGAGCCGTCTGTGTCTCCGCCCATACAGCGTGCGTTGAGGATCTCTCAACGTGCCGTTGCGAACTGCGCAACGCAGGGTTGACTCTGCTCCGCTACCTGAACCCTCAGTATAGTTGGGTTGGGCTCGACATATTCTCTCTCCTTTGAGAGAGCGCAGAGAAAACGAATAGTGGAGGCGAGCACGCACTTCAGCGCGTCAATGCGTCGCGCATTGTACGTGACTACAGCAGAACATTATAATTCACGCTTTACTTCGGGTGCTCGCTCTGTCTAAACGGCTTAAGTCTTTGAAGGGAGGCTATGTCCTTCCAGCCAGGGTCAACCCTATGTTGCTACAAGTAGCAACGGGGGGTCGTATTTTGATGAGTTTGTAGGGGGGGGGGGTCGTACTTGCTTCGGTTGTAAGAAGTGCATGTGATAAGAGGGGAGCGGCGCGGGAGAGAAAATTTGCCGTTTCA